CAGCAGGAAAGGTTTTTTATATCATTAATTATTTTTCCAGAAGAATTCAAAATGTATGTTAGTGATGGAGGATAAAGCTCTGCTAATGATTTATGACTAACAACAATTATAGTGAGGTGTTACAGCACTGAACTCCATAGCGATCTTTTATGCAAGCTACAGATAAAGCCAAGTCCAGATCACTTCAAATTTGACTTTGAGGTAGGAAAAAAATAAAACAGCGTAATCATTAAAATTCTAGTGAAGGAAGATCTGTCTGGCCCCGTACACAAATGAGGGCTGTCAGACAGAAAAACACGTTTCCATCAAAAACGGATACAACTTACTTGACCTGGAAGATACAAGAAGCAACCATTAGAACAACCATGACGTAGAATATGGCATATGTCAGCTGCATCTCCCCCTTCAAGGTCATCGCTATCATGCCAGCAACCGCTTTAACTGAAATCACTGCCACCGAGGCTGAAAGAGAGAAAGCACTCATGTTTATATTACAGAATAATAACATATACGGGTAGTGCAAAAGCAATGAGGACATACAAGTATTCAGATCGCAAGTTCTAGAGGTGTAAAATTTCCGGAAAATCTTGAAGCCATCCAAAAAAAAAAATAATTTATTTTCCGTTTTTTTTTTCTGGAAAAATTGGGGAAAAAATTCAGTGTGGAGCATTTTTTTTACTAGGAATGCACCGATGCCGGTTTTTAGGTATCGAGTACCAATATTTTTTTGGGGTACTCGCCGATACTGAATACCGATACCGAAAGTTCCATTAAGGAAGCCAGGCGTCATGCAATGTCTTGCCACCCGGCTTCCCGATCAGCAGGGAAGCCATCCCCATGCTTCTCGTCACCTGGTGACGAGAAAGCATGGAGCTGGCTTTCTGGCCAATCAGGAAGCCGGGTGCCGTTTAATGACTCGTCACCTGGCTTCCTGATAAGTCGGGAAGCCGGGCGTCGTGTAAACACTTGCCACCTGGCTTCCCAATTAGCAGGGAAGCTGTCCTCATGCTTCTCGTCACTGGGTGACGAGAAAGCATGGAGCCAGCTTTCTGGCCAATCAGGAAGCCGGGCGCCCTGTAATGACGTGGCGCCCGACTTCCTGATTGGCCGGGAAGCCGGCTCCATGCTCCCTCATTATGAGATGACGAGGGAGCATGGAGCCAGCTTCCGGGCCATTCAGAGAGCCGCGGCGCCCGGCTTCCTGATTGGCCAGCTTTCCGACCAATCAGGATGCCGAGCAGGGAGTCATTACACGGCGTCCGGCTTCCTTTTTTTAAAAACATTTCCAGAAAAAAACAAAAAGGGCTTTAGAAAAAAAAAAAAAACAGGAAAACACAGTTTTTCCCCCAATGTTTCCCTTTTTTTCCAGCCCTTCCCATCTCTAGTTCTGACCACAATCGGAGCTGCATGCTTGTTCCAGGTCAGGGACAGAGAACATATTGAAGATCACCGAACATCACACCTGTGACTGATGTCTTAATTTTGGATTTATTGATGTCCAATGTGACTGTAGCCTTAACCCCTTGTTCTAAAGGTTAATTCATTCTTGGGACTTGTGAAACCTGACCCTGGGGGCCCATTCACACATTCACATTGCTATAACGCTATAACATGACTGAAACTTGAAGGGATACATGAAACAAAGATCAAAAACACAGGGAAATGACCTCAAACATTATAGACCTCAAAACAATAGGGCACCTGCTCTATAGGAGGTGCATTGCAGTGTCATTCATTGTGAATGGAATCCAAACATACTGTACAATAGAGTGTAATGCACCATGCACTGCAGTGCACCACACCATGCATTGTGGGGTGCTATATTTAAAAAAAAAAGGTTCCTGCACATTTTTATATCTGTTGTAGTATGTCGACACCCCGACCATATTGTTTGAGGTCATTTCCCCGTGTTTTTGAACTTTGTTTTATATGAGATATATATGGGATATGTCATATGTGATTTCTGCTCTCCGGAACCTTTTTTTATACCCTTCATTTATGCGGAAGTTTCAGTCATTTCCCCCCTTTCCATTCTTTCCTCAAGACTGTACATATTAAGTTCCTACAATCTCTCCTGATATGCTTTATCCATCACACCTCTGAACATGACTCTGGACCCATTTTGTCTTTATATCTTTTTGTAAGGTCTTCACAACTGGATACAGTATTCTAAATTAGGTCTTAACTTAAGATCCATGTAGGGGAATCAGGATCTTCTTCCTCCTGTTGGTGATTCCTATAGTAATGTACCCCAGAATTAAATTTCCCCACTGCCAGGCCATGTTCCTTTTGCAATCATCTAAATAAGCACTCCCAAACCCCCATTTTTTTCATCTGTATTGCTGGATAACACTGTACCCCCAGTATTTTACTGTATCAGAGGATTCCTTTTCCCCAAGTGCATTATTAAGACTACTATACATTCCTTCTCCATAATATAAATTTAAGAAGTTGAACAAATAGAGGAATCATATTGGATGTCAGAGCAGGCATGCAGACCTGAGAAGTCAAGTGCAGAGCCCTTGCAAGCAGAGTCCAAGAGCCATAAGAAAACATTAGGTCCAGTGCCATCCAACCCACATCATGTAAGTCCAGGAAATCCTGAACATGCTTTTGTGGGTGCATCAACAATCCTCCTTGGGCTCACCAGAGAATGCTGAAGGAACATCACTCAACTCATTAAGTGAGTGACGTTCTCTTAATCGTTCAGAACGAGGCCACCACCAATGGAAGACGGGGACCCTTAACCACATGTAACTGGACTAAGGACCCTTTAAAAGAAAGTTTGTATTCAGCGATTAAAAAAAAAGATGGGAGGGGGTTTGCAAATTTGGCTTTCAACTCCTAAGCATCTCCCAAAAACTTAAATATCAGTTTATAGTGGATTGAACCAACTACCGTTGCCATCATCATTGAACTACACTAGAAGACTTTAGAGTCTGCCTCTAGTCCATTGTTTAAAACTGATCTACATTTTTAAATCAAACAATATGCAGTAGCTTCGGTACTAGGAAATTTTGCACTACAGACAGAAAACACATGTCCCTTTATATCTTCCAAATGAATCACAAAAACAAACATAACAGCAGATGACTTCCAATAAGATTTTGATTTAAACAAATGCTAATGAAAAGGAGAGAAGAAATTGACATGCAGACCTAGATAATCGGAAGACTGTGTACTCACCCAACAAAGCTACCAGAAGTAGCAAAACCACAATATGATTCACCCCTTTTCTCCTGTACACGTAGAGCAAGATGCAGAACACAATAACTTCGAGGACCTAAGAAATAAAGACCATAAATGATTAATTATGGAAGAAATGGTCGAGCTTTAGGGCCCAGTCACTCCATGCTTGGCAGAATAAGGGCCTCTTGGTGTGTGCTGTGTGCAGGCGGTTTGGTGTATTCTCACAAACATCACACAGTACATCTTTTTTAACTTATTGAAATGTCATTAAATGACATTGTATTAAAGCCATGAAGCAAACCCACTTCAAGGAAATATCCCCTGTAAGACATCTCTGCCCCAAATAAGTGAGGACTATGCTTTGTTACTTGGGAAGCACTGAATAAGGACTTTTACTTCTTTATCAAGTGATGAATGGCATTACGGGAGACAGGGGGCAGGGATGCTTACCTCATAACCCCCAGCGATGTTTAAAACATGATCCCCACTAGATTGCACCACATAATCAGGAGTCACCAAAAGGAGCAGAGAATTTATATTCACTTTGAGTGTGACCACCATCCATGGATGGTATGCGGAGGCTGGAACTCTGAATTAGACCACTTTTTACCAGTTCAGCAACAAAAAAAAGTAATTAGATTTGCCTAGAGAACTCCATTGAGCCATTACTTGCTCTCTGGCAAATTCAATGAGGCTTTAAAAAAATAAATCTTGAATTTATAGTTTGGGGATGTAAAGAAGGCACAAAACCACCATCACCTACAGCCCAATTCAACACACAGGTGTCACAATTGTTTTATAATTTGTTTTGTGTATTAGAGATTGTTAAACATTCTTGGGTAAACACAAATGTATTCAACAGCAGGACAATGATGGTGCCGTAAAGCAACATGTAAATCAAACCAAACACTGATGCTGTGACATGGGAGGAAACAGGAAGAGTCACATACTCTCTCATACCAGGAAGTACCATTCCTTTTTCTTAATAGCAAGCAGCTGATTATTTTTTCATGGCGTAAAGGGGCAAGTGGGAGATCATTGTAAGTGCATAAAACAAATTCCTCAGCACTCAATTATACCAGCCAGCTGTGAAAACCTGCTTTGGAAATGATAATAAGTCTCAGCTGCCTAGGTTTGCAAGCAATCTTTCCACGTTACGGATAGTAGAGTTTACTCAAACATCCTTTCTATAGGTGACATATGATAGACTAAACTTGACATATATGAGTCTTGCAGTTCACCATGGTGGCTGTGTGTACCAAATATGCCCCGACAGTTAATTTAGAAGCAGGGTTCTAACAAATTGGTTTTATGCACTTTGGTGCCTTCATATAATTCCAATTTATGAAAAGTAAAAAATGTATTGCATAAACTTTTCTGAAACTTTACCATTATCTATAGTTACTTTATAAACACTAAACTATAAGTAACACTTGATCAAATCAATTGGTAAAGCAAATCTGGGATATTTGAAGATGTTGAACTCATCAATCCACACCTCTAGTCATTTATATCCTTGAAGTCAATGATTCACATGAAAACCAATTTTGCCAATTTAGTGATCTCTATCTCAACATAAATCATAGTTTACAAAAGTAAATACAATATTTGTCTTTTAGACATGAGATACGTTTTATTTGCCATGCACACAAAACAGAGTTCAGTCTTTTGGTCTCCACGTCCCCCAGTGTCATGTTATTTTTCAGTGTACACAACATTTCTTCATACTGTTTCTGAACTGTGCTGAAGATCTGACACTTCGCTAATGAACTCCCCTGATATTTACATGGCCATTTGCAGACCAAAGGCTTTGCTGTTCATCAATTCCACTAATCCCTAATCATCCCATAGCCATGCACTCTAATGAGCTCATAGAGCTCAGAGCTGGCCAACACTTACATCTCATGCTATGATATTTGGAAATACATTTCCAACATTCCGGTATTATTGTTAAAGAACAACTCCGTTCTAAATGAAAACTTTTTCAGAGTTTAAAACAGCACAGAAGTGTAAATAATCCAAAATAATCATTAAAATGTATTTCTTAATCTCTAAAGTTGGTAGGGTTCCTAAAAAGAAAATGAGGTGCTCTTCTAAATCAAACATCCACAATTATTTGTTTGTGCTTCTGTTGGGTTTTTAAGTGTCCCTGTTGAGAAGATATATTCCCACTATTTGTCCACGTGAAAATGCAGAAAGCGAGAGAGAATCCACGGAAGGAGCAAAGGTGATATTTTCCAATATTTGGATAGATAACTCAGATGTGAGGGGAAATTTTTCCGGTGGAGAAACAAGCAGCAATAAAAACTTGATAAAGATCCTAGTCCATACCATAATACCATACTGATCATGTGGGGGGGTTATTTGTATTCAGCACAAGAGCCTTAGCATACCACTGGCATATTGTTATGCCATACTGCCCATGCGTAATGACTGCGTGGAAGAAGTGGGACTTGAGGGTCAATACTGTGCATGCATGGCTGCCATATCAATAGATCTTACCTACCTACACACCATCTTGAAAAGGACTACTCTATTAAACTCCATTGGCTTGGGTTCCACATTAAAGTAAACCTGTGCCTTGGATATAGACATTCAGTAAATGAGCTTTAAACAAGCCCTCACTGACCCCTGCAATTGCAGTCACTGTGGTCCAATTCATCCTCAAATTTATGAGTTCTAATGATCACGTTACTTTAACCTCTTGATAAATAAAAGCAATATAAGGTTCAACTGTCATTTATTTAAATCACAGGTAACATATTACAACAACAGAGATTCTGCAATATACAAATATGAATATTTTTTCTTAGAATGCATAGTAATCCATGATATAAACTAGGGATGCACAGATACAGATACTAGTATTGATGCCGATGACAAGTAATTGGGCAGGTACTTGTACTCGCCCAAATGCTCCGATGCCTAGCCCGATACCTGAGCTTCCGGTATCAGGAAGCTGGGCAGCGAGTAATTACACACTGCCCTGCTTCCCGATTGGCCAGGAAACCAGTTTCAAGCTTCCTCGTCACTTAGTGTCGAGGGAGCATGGAGCCAGCTCCCCGGCCAATCAGGAAGCCGGGCAGCGTGTAATGACTTGCCGCCTAGCATTCTGATTGGTCGGAAGGCGGCCTATCAGGAAGCTGGACAGCGAGTCATTACCCGCCCCCCAGCTTTCTGATTGGCCAGAAAGCCAGCTCCATGATTCCTTGTCACTTGGTGATAAAAAAAAAACAGCATAGAAATGAATAGCTAGGTTGCTATTGGCTATTTCAATTTGCAATAGCCAATAGCAAGCTGGCTATTGTACCCGCCCTTGCTGCTGTCAGTCAGCAGAGGAGAACCTAATGAAGAACTTCAGGTCTACCTCTGCCGATTGACAGCAGCAGTGGGTGGATGCAATAGCTAGTCTGCTATTGGCTATTACAAATTAAAATAGCCAATAGCAATCTAGCTATTAGTTCCTATGCCTTTTTTTTTCTTTTGACTGACGGCGGTCAGTGGCCCCGATGTCAAGAAATAACAAAAAAAAAAACAAACAGATAGCAGGGAAAGGTGTTTTTTGCTAGATAAGCAGAGTACACCTTTCTGGGAGAAAATGTTTCTCTCCCGGGTGTCCGGGAGCCGCTATCTTATCTGGGAGACTCCTGGAACATCCGGGAGAGTTGAGATGTCTGCATGTCCTATTCACATGTGCCAGAGTTCCAGGAAGTAAAGGAAGATCTAGTAACCTGCCCTTAGTAAACATGGCCACTGTCAGAAGACTGGGGAAGGAAAGAGAAATTAGGTATGCAAAGAATACAAAGCCGGCAATTATCTAGAAGTATCAGTTTGTAGATTGTCATTACTAAACATTTCTAAAGGTGTGTGTGTTGTTATTTTAAAAGATAACGGTAAAGTTCCTCTTTAAGTCATTAAAAAAACCAATAAAGAATATCTGATATAAAAAAAAAGTGATGAAGTGCAATGATCATTGCTCTATTGAACAAAGTATTTATCTTTGAGCATATGGTAACCGGAACTGTTAAGGAAAATTAGGGAGAAAATGGCATAGTGGTGGGAAGGGGAGGGGGGTAACTTACTATTATTACGCATGTTCTTTGTCCTTTGTCATCAAATGTTGTGGCTATACTTAACTGTTTGCATAGTTAAGCAGATAAGGCAACATAAGGGAGCCTTTTTTTTTTTTGAGGATAGGCACAGGGAACTGTGGACATAGTTGTCCATGGTAACCAAATTGTAGAATATTGTCTTCTGGTATTGTAAAATCAATATTTAATTTATCTCTGAGAGGTTATTCCTGCTTGTTCCAAAACACGTTTCACATCATTTCAAATCTTGCACGCAAAATCATAAACAGATTTACAGCTCATTTTAAGAACGTCCACGTAAGCACACAATTACCAGCATTTCCCTCTAGTTTATCACTGGGTTCAACATTTTATTAATATACTCAGCCCTTCATAAACCAATTTCTCAGCTTGCCTGGCATGTAACGGAGTGGTAATAATCCATTCCACAAAATTTCCATTCAAAGGCCAGAACATTCAGACTCAGATCCTTAATCTAATGAATCTCTAATGGTGGGGTGCTATCCAAAACACAATTTTACATGGCATCCTCATTTTAGAGAAGGAAATGAATACCAAACACATGTTTAAATATGCACTGCAGATCAAAGGCTGGGTTTTGAAAATGGATTACAAGACAAAAAGAGTTGGTCATAGAGAAGTGGTTAAAGTGGAACTATAGCTTTACAATGAAATATTACTGGCAGGGAGGCTTTTATTTCAGAAGTTACTCTGTGCATCCCTTCTGCAATAAAAGCATCTTACCTGCTTGCCAGCAAGGTTTTTCTAAACATACGCTGAGGTGCACATGCACAGGTCAGTGTATATTCTTGGCATATCCCTGGTGCTGGGATGAATGACTTGAAATTACGTTATCCCTGGCTGATTAATCAAGATGACCGAAGATGGCAAGCACAGCAGAAGACCAGGCAAAGATGAAAGTGCCTGCAAGGCAGCTAGCATTGCTAGAGGCGAGGCAAGTATAGCAGAGTTTAGCTCTCTATTCTTGTACCTGTTGCCTAATACCGGCAAGAGTTTTCAACCATAGTTGGGCAGTGTGTGAAATACAAATAATGGTACAAGGAACAAGTAAGATTAAATTTCTCCAAAGCAGGTGGAAATCCCTTCTAAATTGTCACTAACTCTCCATTGGAAGATTGACCCTGTCTGTTCCTGTGACAACTTGGACATCTATTAGAGGTTGGATGAAAGGTTTTGATAGTTAAAATAGGTTGGTTTTGATAGCAGGAGGAACACAGGGATTTGTTTCCAAAAGACGAGCAGTATCTCGTCTAAATGAAGGACAGTTGGGAGCTAAGCTAGAGGGGAGGTCAGTCAGATATACCCTATACAACAGGGAAGGTCAGTCGGATATACCTTGTGCAACAGAGATGGTAAGTCGGGCATACTCTTTGCAAAGGGGAAGGTCAGATGCATATACCCTGTGCAACAAGGAAGGTCAGATGCATATACCCTATGCAACACGGAAGATCATTTGCTTATACCCTATGCAACAAGGAAAGTCAGTCAGATAAACCCTATGTAACAAGGAAGGTCAGTCAGATAAACCCTATGTAACAAGGAAGGTCAGACGCATATACCGTATGTAACAAGGAAGGTCAGACGCATATACCCTATGTAAAAAGGAAGGTCAGACGCATATACCCTATGCAACAAGGAAGGTCAGATGCATATACTTTATGCAACAGGGAAGGTCAGACACATATACCCTATGCAACAGGGAAGGTCAGACACATATACCCTATGCAACAGGGAAGGTCAGGCGCATATACCCTATGCAACAGGGAAGGTCAGACGCATATACCCTATGCAACAAAGAAGCTCAGTCGCATATACTCTATGCAACACGGAAGGTCAGTAACATGTACCCTTATGTAACAGGGAAAGGTGGTCTGATATATACCCTATGCAACTGGTAAGGTTAGTCTGATATATATACTATGCAACTGGGAGGGTCAGTAGGAAAGATTTAGATGTGATTGCAATGCAATTTTTCCGCTGTTTGTTTTCTAACAATAGTGAGACATTTAGGCTAGATTCACAAATTTATATTTTTGCCTAATGTGTTTTCCATTGAAATCAATGGAAACACACCAAAATGCATGTCACACTGTGATAAAATGCACGTCGAAGGCACACATCAACGCACATCAAATATGCTCCATTACGTTATGTCCCCATTATGTTGAGGGCTATAATTTGTGTATTTTTTAATCTTCAGAAATTTCTGACCTAACACACTGGTAGGTGATTTTCTTCAACTCAAGTTTATTTAAAGAATATTTAAAGCATGG